TTTCAAGTCATTTCAGACTTAGGTTGACCCTGAGCAAGGGCCAGTTAAATGACCTTGGAGGGCCATATCTGGCCCTCAGGCTTTAGTTTGAGGACCCCTGCTCTAGTACAACCCTGTGGTGAATTTCCTCCACCCACATTGAAGGACTTGAAGATACCTTTAAAGAAGACATCTTCAGGAAATTGACCACAAAACTGTGATAAAATTTCCAGAGAGGTGTTCTTTTGGGTTAAAAAAAAGGTATAACAATGTCTTTATTCATAGTTTTTCACTTTTCCAGACATTCTTTGTGCCTTACCCTAGTGAATGTGGAGGGCAGTATGTTTTTTTATTTTATTTTGGAATTATGGATAGAGGATGCTTAAAATGGGTGTAAGAAGACTGGATTAGAGGTTCACAACCAGCTACATGTTGGGGGGAAACAACCTCTGAGTTCAAGAAGTTGATATTACATCTGTACTTTCCATCTCCATATGTTGTCTGAGATGACACCCTCATATTATGTGATTTCAACTCCACTAAAATCATGGGTTCATGTCCAAGAGTGTCAGATAGCCAGATGAGACACAGAGGAGTTGAAGGCAAAACCAGAGGCTTTATTCTCAACAAGCAGAGAAGTCAGCAGCAAAAACAACCTCCAAAGAACAAACATACCCACAACTGTGAATACATGGCTTTATTTATAATACATCTGACAGAGAGGTAGTGCAGAACCATTAGAAATTGCAACACCACTTCTTCATTGATCCTGGAGGGTGTTGGTTAGTATCTGCAATCTCATTGGAGGAGATGTGAGTCCACTTCTGCTTTTGAACCAATCAGCAGTGAGGCAGGAAATTTAATAATCCATCATTCATGGATTTGAAGTCTTGTGCCTGTTTATGAGTCCTTCCCAGAAACTGGGTGTGTCTGGGTGGAATGCGGTTTGATGGGTGGTTGATGGGTCCTGGTGGTCCAATGTCAACTAGGCAAAAGGTATTTAAGGTGCCGTTACATATATTTATTTACAGTATTTATATTCCGCCCTTCTCACCCCGCAAAGGACTCAGGGCAGATTACAATGTACACATACATGGCAAACATCCAGTGCCATAGACACACAACACATATAGACAGACAGTCAAAGGCTACTTAACATTCCAACTTTCCTGGCCACCAGGGGAGCTGTCGCTTCACTGTCCATCTGCAACGGTGAAGCGACAGCTTTACTGGAGATTTTTTTATGGTGTCATAAATTTATTAAATAGCCTCTCCACACATAGGTGGTACCTAAATTTCCAACTTGATAGATGCAACTGTCTTTCGAGTTGCAAAGGTCGACAACAAGCTACACAAAATTGGTCGGAAGTTCACTCCAACCTGAGCTGGCTTCGAACTCATGACCTTTCGGTCAGTAGTGATCTTAATGCAGCTGATCCCCAGCCAGTTGCGCCAAAGTCTCTGTGAATGGAGAATTCACAGAGGGAATCTGAATAGGTGCTGTAGATGACGCTACATTCACAAAATAAAAATTTAGATAAAACCCATTGTGGGTCCTGGGATTTTTCCAGGGTGTTGTGAGAAAATTATGATAACTATGAAGCCATTTCCCATTCCTAAGGTGTGGATGGAAAAATCCTAAAACATTCCAAGGGAAATTCATGAAAGGTTACAAGGAAAAATGTGTGCTGGCTGTATATCTCAATGGAACCGCATATAATAATTTATAACTTTGCAGCTGAATTTTCGATAAGACTCGTTCTGCTAAAGTAGGGATGGCCCTGTTAAACACCTACCAATAAAAGACAGATAGTGGATGACCCTAGAAAGTCCTTCATCAAGGAATACATCACCAAGCTTGCAGTTGTGGTTGGTCTCCACGTGAATTTCCCAGAGTAGTCAGAAGATAGCGTAAAGGAACCTTTGGCCCAGTTTTGGATCTTTCTTATGTTCTTATCTGGTCTCAGGTCAATCACACAAGAATGGGAACAGCATGTACCTGCCATCAAGGATGTCCATGCACTCTGCTAACAGTGACCTCCTGACATCAACCTTAGAACTTTTTAGAAGCCCTGTCCTATATCCAAAGAGGCAAAGCCCAATGAAGATAATCCCTTGGTAAAGAGGTCTCTTTAGAAATGAAATTGCTTTGATATCTTGGTTTTAATTAGTTTTGGCATCCTTGTCTTGAATGTAGCTATGGACTAAGCACTGCCACCCCACAAGATTTGTCTTTCCCAATCGAGAACTCTCCAAAAGGGTTGCATTACCAGTGAGGCTATTAAAATGGTAGGAATGATGGTCCAAAACACCTGGAGATCACCAAGACATTGAGGTGTGATTCAGGTTAACAGAGAAAAATCCTGTACCCCTCTTTTAAGGGGTGAGGGCATGGATTCAGTTACTCAGATCTGGGACCAGGATAAGATGAGCACAAGTATATGATCAGTGACAGATAGCAAAATCATGATACGTCTGTATGATAGGCAGCAAGTACCGGTTTGAGCATTGGATTCAAATTATCATAGAATCATAGAATCAAAGAGTTGGAAGAGACCTCATGGGCCATCTGCCCCTGCCAAGAAGCAGGAATATTGCATTCAAATCACCCCTGACAGATGGCCATCCAGCCTCTGTTTAAAAGCTTCCAAAGAAGGAGCCTCCACCACACTCCGGGGCAGAGAGTTCCACTGCTAAACGGCTCTCACAGTCAGGAAGTTCTTCCTCATGTTCAGATGGAATCTCCTCTCTTGTAGTTTGAAGCCATTGTTCCCCGTCCTAGTCTCCAGGGAAGCAGAAAACAAGCTTGCTCCCTCCTCCCTGTGGCTTCCTCTCACATATCTATTATACATGGCTATCATATCTCCTCTCAGCCTTCTCTTCTTCAGGCTAAACATGCCCAGCTCCTTAAGCCGCTCCTCATAGGGCTTGTTCTCCAGACCCTTGATCATTTTAGTCGCCCTCTCTGGACACATTCCAGCTTGTCAATATCTCTCTTGAATTGTGGCGCCCAGAATTGGACACAATATTCCAGATGTGGTCTAACCAAAGCAGAATAGAGGGGTAGCATTACTTCCCTAGATCTAGACACTAGAAGAGTTATGGAAGAGTTCAACTCTTTCCTGAGCCCTTGGGCACTCTATCTATCTATCTATCTATCTATCTATCTATCTATCTATTTAATTATTTATTTATTTCAGGCATTTATACCCCTTCCTCTACCTCCGAAGAGGAACTCAAAACGGCTTCCAAACAGGCAACAATTCAATGCCAAGCATGATACAAAACACATAATAAATACATCCATATACATTAAAATACTTTTTTAAAATATACATTAGAACTAGATTAAAATCGCCATATTAAAATCGTCATCCCAAACAGTCCCAGTACAGTCCAATGAAATCTTGACTTCCCAGTAAAAGAACTATTTTGTGAACGCTTGATCCCATAATCAGGATTTAAGTTTCTTCCGGAAGGTCAGAAAGGAGGGGGCGGATCTAACCTCATTAGGGAGGGAGTTCCACAGCCGAGGGGCCACCACAGAGAAGGCCCTTTATACTTACATTACACTTCCTCAACTTCAAACGAAGGAAATGACAAGCCTCCTCTGAATACATTTTGCCAAGACAGCTTTAGGATAGCAATATAATAATAAAACTTTATTTATAATCTGTTCTAGAATGATCAAGGGTCTGGAGAACAAGCCCTATGAGGAGCAGCTTAAGGAGCTGGGCATGTTTAGCCTGAAGAAGAGAAGGCTGATAGGAGATATGATAGCCATGTATAAATATGTGAGAGGAAGCCACAGGGAGGAGGGAGCAAGCTTGTTTTCTGCTTCCCTGGAGACTTGGACGTGGAACAATGGCTTCAAACTACAAGAGAGGAGATTCCATCTGAACACGAGGAAGAACTTCCTGACTGTGAGAGCCGTTCAGCAGTGGAACTCTCTGCCCCAGAGTGTGGTGGAGGCTCCTTCTTTGGAAGCTTTTAAACAGAGGCTGGATGGCCATCTGTCAGGAGTGATTTGAATGCAATATTCCTGCTTCTTGGCAGGGGGTTGGACTGGATGGCCCAGGAGATCTCTTCCAACTCTTTGATTCTATGATTCTATGATTGTATCTCCCCAAATGCTTTAAATCATTGGTTCACAACCTTTTTTGACCAGGAACCACTTGACCAGGGACTACTTTGGCCAACATTTTTTGACCAAGGACCACTTGACCGGGGACCACTTTGACCAGAGACCACTCTCCAACATTAGTACCAAAAGAGTTACGAATCATTTTTTGGTCAACTTTGAACTTGGTTTGGTTATTTGAGGTGCTGATTCAGAAAATTGCACTGGATAGACCACATTAGCTCTACTTACGGACACTGAACATATGCCATACAGTAGTCGCCATCTGCTTGCCCACAGAAAACCATTTATAATAAGCCTTGGCACAATAACAGGGTTTTGTGAGGCTAGTTGCTCTTGCTGCAGTGCTGTAGTAACGGTGAGGCTGCAGACCATATTTTAATTCTTGCAGACCACTGGTGGTTCGCAGACCACAGACTGGGAAACAGTGCTTTAAATAAATCACTGCATTCCATCGCTCTGCTGCAGATTAACCTTGGTGGAGTTTTGAAGTTCAAGGCACGGGGATGGCATGAAATGGACAGGTATGTTGCAAAGCTTTCCAAATAATGACCCCTTCCCGTAACACTCCCCCTTCAATATGCAATCAACCGTACATTACTTTTATCTGGCACCACAAAAAGCTTGTTATTTTTTATTGTATCAGAAGCAAGTTGAGGGTACAGTTAACATGTATTTAGAAACACAAACAACGTTTTGAAACTAAATGTCCTTTGACCAGAAGCTGGCCACTTGGAGTGCCTCTGGTGTCGCTGTGAGAAGGTCATGAAACCAACCCAAAAGCTTGTATTTACATATGACACATAAAGGAAAGTCTGCTGCCTTGGCTGATTTCCCAGTTTCACAGCAGGATTTTTTCCCAACCTCCTATAAAGGCTGAGGTTATCCAGAGTCATGGCCCTTGTAGACGTCACTCTCCAAGAGTCTGTTCTAATGAAACCTCCACTTCCTCATCTGAAACATCATGAGATTCCTTCACCTGCTTTGGGCCCTTCTTTTCTTCCTCTACCAATCTGCACCAGGTGAGAAATAAAGACCAAACAGACTGAGGGCAAAGAGGTTAAATCAGGCATGGGCAAACTTGGGCCCTCCAGGTGTTTTGGACTTCAATTCCCACAATTCTAAACAGCCTGCCTGCCATCAGAAATTGTGAGAGTTGAAATCCAAAACACCTGGAGGGCCAAAGTTTGCCCATACTTGAATTAGGTGTTGTACAGCAGGGGTAAGAAAACTTTGTATTTCTGTTAGTTTTGCTCTTGCCCCAACCAGCATGTACAGTGATAATTGGCTGTGGGAATTGCAGTCTAAACCATAGGGAGGAGAGGAGCAAAGGTTCCTTGCCCTGATCCTCCCCAATTCTGAGCTCCATGGCCAAAATAGCCTCACAGTGGGATGTCTCAGGTTGCAACAGTCAGCCCTAAACATTTGCTAGGGCTAGAGGTGCAGGGCCCCCCTAATACTGGGAAAATAGGACTTAAAATTTTTTTGCTAACTTGAAAGAGCATCTCTCTAGGAGTCTGATCCCTAATCCATCTAAAACACAGACATGTGCCTTTCACCTTAAGAACAGACAAGCATCCCGAGCTCTGAGGATTACCTGGGAAGGAATCCCACTGGAGCATTGCAGCGCACCCAAATACCTGGGAGTCACTCTGGACCGTGCTCTGACCTACAAGAAGCACTGCCTGAACATCAAACAAAAAGTGGGCGCTAGAAACAACATCATACGAAAGCTGACTGGAACAACCTGGGGATCACAACCAGACACAGTGAAGACATCTGCCCTTGCGCTATGCTACTCTGCTGCTGAGTATGCATGCCCAGTGTGGAACACATCTCACCACACTAAAACAGTAGATGTGGCTCTTAATGAGACATGCCGCATTATCACAGGGTGTCTGCGCCCCACACCACTGGAGAAATTACACTGCTTAGCCGGTATTGCACCACCTGACATCCGCCAGGAAGTAGCAGCTAATAGTGAAAGGACCAAGGCAGAGACATCTCCAGCGCATCCCCTGTTTGGGTATCAGCCAGCACGTCAACGACTTAAATCAAGACATAGTTTTCTTAGATCTACAGAGACACTCGCTGGAACACCCCAGCAAGCGAGAGTCCAAAAGTGGCAGGCCCAAACCCAGCACCTCAATTCATGGTGATACCAGATGAGAGACTCCCCCCTGGGCACTCAGAAGACTGGGCGACTTGGAAGGCGCTGAACAGACTGCGCTCTGGCACCACGAGATGCAGAGCCAATCTTAAGAAATGGGGCTACAGGGTGGAATCTCGGCATGCGAGTGCGGAGAAGAACAAACCACTGACCACCTGCTGCAATGCACCCTGAGCCCTGCCACATGCACAATGGAGGACCTTCTTGCGGCAACCCCAGAGGCACTCCAAGTGGCCAGATACTGGTCAAAGGACATTTAACCAAATACCAAATTTGCAAAATCTGTGTGGTTTTTTTTCTTTTTTTTTCTTTTTAATCTCTGTGTTTGTTTTGCTCTGTTAGAATTGTAATACAATGGTTGCTGATGACACGATAAATAAATAGGAGTCTCGGTTCCTTCAGTGTGTTACTATGATCAACCTTTGCTGGAGGTGGGACTCAGAATTGCACTGAAGTTTCCAAAGATTCCTAGAGAGAAGATTTATTTGGGAATTTGAATATCTTCCAGCACTATTATTATTATTTGAAACACAACAAGATGAGTCCACAGCACACAAGATCACTCTGCTGGCTGTTATATTGGATCACACGTCGGACACTTCCCAAGTTTCTAGGACTGTGTGATGTATCGGCGAATAATGCATGCAGATCCCAGTAAGGTGGCCTTCTGCAGCTGGCAGATGGTAATTTTGTCAGTACCGATTGTGTTTAAGTGTAGGCCAAGGTCTTTAGGCACTGCACCCAGTGTGCCGATCACCACTGGGACCACCTTGACTGGCTTGTGCCAGAGTCTTTGCAGTTCAATCTTTAAATCCTCATATTGTGTCAGCTTTTCCAGTTGTTTCTCCTCAATCCTGCTGTTGCCTAGGATTGCAACATCAATGATCCATACTTCTTCTTCTTATTATTATTATTATTCTGTTTATTTATATCCCACTTTGTTTTTAACACATTATTATTATTATTGTTATTATTATTATGTTTATTTATATCCTGCTTTTTCTCTCCATAAGGAGACTCAAGGCAGCTCATAATAAAAGCATTACAATTCAATTTAAAATATACAAGTATACAAGTATTACAACAGTATTAAACATCATTTAATACTGTTTTAAAACAATTCAGATTAAACCCATAAAAACATATAAAACCACAGCAATTCTATGGTCAATATCCATAGAAGTTGCGTGTAGAGTTACACTGGAGGACCTTGAGATTCCTGGAGAACTGTTCTCTCTGATATCTAAAAATAGATATTTTTTTTATTTACAGTTTTTTCCACTTTTATGGGGGTCCTCTTTCCCTAATCCCAGAAAATGTGGAGGATGTTCTCCCATAACCTCCAATTGTCTCACTTTGGAAAGGAAAGTCCCAATTCATCCTCTGCTGTCCTTCATTTTCAGCTACAGTAGAATCTCGCTTATCCGACCTTCGCTTATCCGACATTCGGTCTTATTCAACACTCTTTTCCTCCAGCATTTCCCCTTCAATTAAAGGAGTGCTCCCCAACTCTCTCTCCATTCCCAATAAGTGAAAAGGGCAAGACGAGGAGGAGGAGGGAGAAAAGGGGAGGAGGCAGGAAGGGAAGCGGAAGCATCCTCCCTCCTTCCATCTGTGACTTCCACGCTCCTTTTCCACATCCAGGCACTTCCTGCTGGGCTGCTCTAGCCCCGAGACGTTGCCTTGCCTTAACCCTTTGAGTCCCTCTTGTTAGTAGTCTAGGTGTCGCGTCACACAGGTAACAGTAGGAGACTCTTTATTATCTGACATTTTCATTTACCCAATGTTCTGCCTGCTTGTTTATGTTGGACAAGCGAGACTCTACTGTACTTCCAAAACATTCCTGTTCTCTCGTCTTCTCCAGCTTTCTGTCTCCATCTGACTTTAGGTGCTGCAAAGTGCAAATGTATTTTGCATTCAATTCACTAAGCAAGTGATGATAGGGGAGAAGGAATAGAAATTTCACCCTTCCCAGTAGGCTCAGGAAAAAGCAAACAGCTGCAGCTTCTTCTAGCTTGTGAGTTCTTCTTTCTTATTAACTTCTACCATCATTGACTACGCTCTAATGATGCTCAACTACACCTGAAGGCATCTACAAAATGTTGGAGGATATGTGTGTTCTGGAACAGCTCTTCCAGGAGCTCCAGATTTATTTGCTGTGTTTAAATGTTTGTGTGCAATCCCATGCTTGGGATTTTTGTAGCAGGGGGTTTCCTGTTATAATTTGCATTTATAGGGTAAGCCACCTGCCAATTATAATTAGGATCCCTGGTCCCGCCCCCTTTTTGCTTTTTGGAGGGAAGGGGCCATTTTTCAGTTAGTCACAGCAAGGGAAGCCAAGGCAGAGGATGCGTACAGACATTCCTCCTGTGCAAAGGCTTCGTCTTTTAAGACTTCCTGGGGAAGAACAGATTAAAGGCCTCTACGGATTCCCAAAGGGTTCCAGGGAACAGCTTCACAGCCCTGAGGACCTCCGGAGGGAATAACAGCTCTTCATCTTCAGCTAAGTGATTTCAAGCCTGATGGTACGTCTGTTCAGTTCTGAGATACAGTTCAGCCGGAGCAGACTCAAACCAGTTAGGTTTAAGTTCACAGCAGCCTGGGAGGAGCTTTAAAGGGGAATTTTTCTGTTAAACAAAGTTTCTTGAAGATAGTGCCTGTTTCCTGTAAACAAGACTGCAAGAGCCAATAGACTATTTAGAAATCTTACAATTCCTGCTTGTTCATTAATAAAGACTGTTGTATTTAAGCTTAAGTCTCCTAAAGCCTGTTTAATAGGGAAAATTCCTCTAAAGGTTCCTTCTCGGCCCCCCGGGCTTCCCGCTGGACGCAAGCCTTGCATCCTCTCTTAGAAGCATTTAATTTCAGCTCCAGCGGCGACAGAACAATGTGATCTGAAGTCATGCCTCCACTGCCTTCCTCCAGTTTCACTTCCGCTCTCACATGTACCTCTTTTTTCTAAACAGCAACAGGAGACCTTTATGATACTCTGGAGTGTCGCAACTACCGAGGACGGTGCCGGAGGCATTGTTTCTACAATGAGGAACAAATTGGCACTTGCACCGGTGGGCGACAACTGTGCTGCAAGTGAAGGACAGCAGCTGGAGATGTGGAAGGCCCAGGGTGGTCAGAGATCTAAAAGGAGAGCCCACAAAACAAGAGCAGAAGGAAGGAAGAATAACAGAATCATGGAGTTGGAAGAGACCTCGTGGACCATCTAGTCCAACCCATTTCTGCCAAGAAGCAGGAAAACCGCATTCAAATATGGGAATATGGGAAATACAACTCAAAATAGAACATTGTCTTAGCACCTTCCCCCATCAAATATACCCATAGATCCTTCCCTCTCCTTCTACCAATGTGTTCTTTAGCAACTTATTTGCATTAGCAACTATAGGAGGCTACACGGAGTTTTAAAAAATGTATCCCCAAATGTCTCCAAACATCCGCTAAGGCAGTGGTTCTCAAACATTGGCTCTCCAGGTGTTTTGAACTTCAATTCCCAGAAGCTTCAGTGTGCTTGGCCGACACTCAGGAATTCTATCATTCAAACTCAAGCTGCTTTGGACCAATCCAGAAAAGCTATAGCATATGTATAGTAAATGCACTAATGTTCTCACCCAGCAGGTGGCAACATTCACCCAGTTTACATTATTCTAACTGAAATAAAGCTTGGGAAAGTTTTCTTTTATGTCTTCATCTTAAATTCTTTGATGGTTGGGTTGCTGAGAGTTTTCTAGGCTGTATGGCCATGTTCGAGAAGCATTCTCTCTTGACATTTCACCCACATCTATGGCAGGCATCCTCAGAGGTGTGAGGTCTCTTGGAAACCAAGATAATGGGGTTTATATATCTGTGGAATCATGTCCAGGGTGGGAGAAAGAACTCTTGTCTGCTTGAGGCAAGTGTGAATGTTGCAATTGGCCACCTTGATTAGCATTTAATGGCCTTGTAGCTTCAAAGCCTGGCTGGTTGTAGCTCAGGAGATCCTTTGCTGAATGGCGTTATTGGGCTTTGATTGATTCCTATCTGGAATTCCCCTGTTTTTTCAGTGTTGTTCTTTATTTACTGTCCTGATTTCAGAGGGGTTTTTTAATACTGGTAGCCAGATTTTAGTGGCTGCCCGGTGGTGCAGTGGGTTAGAGCACTGAGCTGCTGAGCTTGCTGACCAAAAGGTCGCAGGTTTGATTCCAGGGAGTGGCGTGAGCTTCCGCTGTCAGCCCTAGCTTCTGCCAACCTAGCAGTTCGAAAACATGCAAATGTGAGTAGATCAATAGGTACCGCTCTGGTGGGAAGGTAACAGCACTCCATGCGGTCATGCTGGCCACATGACCTTGGAGGTGTCTATGGACAACGCTGGCTCTTCGGCTTAGAAATGGAGATGAGCACCACACCCCAGAGTCAGACATGACTGGAGTTAATGTCAGGGGACAACCTTTACCTTTACCTAGCCAGATTTTGTTCATTTTCATGGTTTCCTCCTTTCTGGTGAAATTGTCCACATGATTGTGGATTACAATGGCTTCTCTGTGTAGCCTGACATCAGAGCAGGCGGAAGAGTGGGCAACAACCAGCAAGGCTTTAAAGCTACAAGGCCATTCAACTACCAACCTTTCAATTAACCAGTTGTGCTAAAGTTTGGGTCTTGATTAGTGGTCTGGTAAACTTGGGTTCAAATCCCTACTCAGCCTCTCAGAAGAAGGCAACAGCAAACCTCCTTTGGACAAATCTTGTCAAGAAAACCCCTTGACAGATTCCATATAGGATCACCATAAATTGGTAAATACTTGATGGCACACAGCACCAAAATGACTTCTGATTGTACTGAAATTTGTCTTTCCAAATTATTCTGATACCAACTCTATTTAATCTTATATCATTGAGAAGGGGGAAAACTTGTTTTCTGTTGCTCTGAGACTAGGATACAACCATTTTAACAACAACAACAACAATGCTATGGGAGACATTACTGGCTATCCTATTCCAGTATCCACTGTTTTCACACTTTGAAAAAAAATGACATTTTGGAAGCAGCACTGGTTATGCTGGCAGGGTGCTTTCTGGGAATGTTAGCTTTAAAAGAAGCTCATCCAAGCTTTTGTATTTTAGCAAGTTCTCAGAAATCTTATTTTCTTTTCTCTGCACACCACACCAGCTCTGTCTGTGTCCTCAGGGTTTGGTGAGAAAGATGCCTGGAGCTTTTACATTGTTCAGATCCCCTCCCCTTATCTGAGACTCCCATATGAAGGAAATGAGATCATATCTGACAGATTTCCCACCTCTTCGGGATTTCACTGTGGATGAGAAAGATATTCAATGGCATAGATGTGGCCCACTCTAAAAAGTGTCCTATCCTTCTATCATAAAGACTCCAAAGGCCCCAAAATGTGTCATGGAGACGACCTTGCACTCCAAATTGAAGCAACATAGGATTGAACATTTCTTCTCTGGTTTTCCAGAATTCAAAATATTTCAAAATCATTCAAACAACTTATATTTATTTATCGTGTCAGGAGCAAACCAAATGCTTGTATTCCATTTTTCACACACAAACAAAGGAACAAAACATAAAGTTTGCAAGCTTGGTAGTGGATTAAATGTCCTTTGACCAGTATCTGTCCGCTTGGAGTGCCTCTGGTGTTGCCGCAAGGAGGTCCTCCATTGTGCATGTGGCAGGGCTCAGGTTGCATTGCAGCAGGTGGTCAGTGGTTTGCTCTTCTCCCCACTCGCATGTCGTGGATTCCACTTTGTAGCCCCATTTCTTGGCTCTGCATCTCATGGTGCCAGAGCGCAGTCTGTTCAGCGCCTTCCAAGTCACCCAGTTTTCTATGTGCCTAGGGGGGAGTCTCTCATTTGGTATCAGCCATTGATTGAGGTTCTGGGTTTGAGCCTGCCACTTTTGGAATCTTGCTTGCTGAGGTGTTCCAGTGAGTGTCTCTGTAGATCTTAGAAAACTATTTCTTGATTTAAGTTGTTGACGTGCTGGCTGATACCCAAACAGGGGATGAGCTGGAGATGTCACTGCCTTGGTCCTTTCACTATTGGTTGCTACTTCCCAGTGGATGTCAGGTGGTGCAATACCGGCTAAACAGTGTAATTTCTCCAGTGGTGTAGGGCCCGTGATAATGCAGCATGTCTCATTAAGAGCCACATCTACTGTTTTAGTGTCCTATTTAGTGAGATGTGTTCCACACTCTGCATGCGTACTCAGCAAACAACTACTGAAGCTGGACCTACACTGTACTATATCCCAGTCTGATCCCAGATTATCTGCTTATCCCAGATTATATGGCAGTGTGTTGTTGTTTATTTATTCAGTCACTTCCGACTCTTTATGACCTCATGTGACCCCTGGCAGTATAGACTCATATAATCCAGTTCAAAGAAGATAATCTGGTATCAGATCCTGGGATACAGGGCAATGTAGATCTAGCCGAAAACAGTGACTTCTTTCCCTTCCAATGTTTCATGTATTCAAATATTAAGAAGGGCATAATAGCCATGTTTATAAATTTGCAGGGCTGTCATATTGAGGTGGAGGCATGCTTGTTTTCTGCTGCTTGCGATTAGGGCAGAATGGAGCAATAGATTCAAGCTACAGGAAAAGAGATTCCACGTAAACATTAGAATAAACATCCTGATGGTTCAATCTGTTAGACTGTGGAATAGATTGCCTCAGAGGGTGGTAGAATCTCCTTCTCTGATGGATTTTAAACAGAATCATAGAATCGTTGAGTTGGAGGAGACCTCGTGGGCCATCCATCCAACCCCATTCTGCCAAAAAGGAGGAAAATCACATTCAACCGCCCCCGACAGATGGCCATCCAGCCTCTGATTAAAAGCCTCCAAAGAAGGAGCTTCCAAAACACTCTGTGGCGAAGAGTTTCACTACTGAACAGCTCACATAGTTTATTTATTTATTTATTTCCTATGTTTCTATACCATCATTCTCAGCCCAAAGGCGACTCATGGCGGTTTACAAAGTGACACAATTTGATGCCCACAACAATACAAAGATAATTTAAACATTAAAAGCATTTAACATGGATAAAAATTCATTACAATTAATATCAAAAACATTTTTAAAAACCAGTTAGGAAGTTCTTCCTAATGTTCAGGTGGCATCTCCTTTCCTGTAGTTTGAAGCCATTGTTCCATTGCATCCTAGTCTCCAGGGCAGCAGAAAGGAAGCCTGCCCCCTCCTCCCTATGACTTCCCCTCACATCTTGATACATGGCCCTCATCATGTCAGGAAGTTCTTCCTACCAACCTGGACACAGCACTTTATTTGAGAACACAGAAATGCTGGACCACTCTCACAACCACCAGGTCAGACTACACAGAGAAGCCACTGAAATCCACAAGCATGTGGACAATTTCAACAGAAAGGAGGAAACCATGAAAATGAACACAATCTGGCTACCAGTATTAAAACACTCTAAAATTACAACAGCACAACAACAGAGAGGAAACAAACAAGGACATCTAATTACCTCTCAACAAAAGTTTGCTCCAGGCACTGTCAGCCCATTGTATTCTAATCAAGGTGGTCAGTTGAAACATTCACGTCTAGCTCCAGCAGACAAGAGTCCTTTGTCCCACCCTGGTCATTCCACAGATATATAAACCCTTTTTCCTAGTTCCAACAGACCTCACCACCTCTGAGGATGCTTGCCATAGATGCAGGCGAAATGTCAGGAAAGAATGTCTCTAGACCATGGCCATAGAGCCTGAAAAACTCTACAACAACCCAGTACTTCCTAATATTCAGGTGAAATCACCTTTCCTGTAGTTTGAAGCCATTGTTCCATGTCATAATCTCCAGGGTAGCAGAAAACAAGCTTGCTCCCTCATCCCTATAACTTCCCCTCACATATTTATACATGGCTGTCACCATGTCTCATCTCAGCCTTCCTTTCTGCAGGCTAAGCATGCCCAGCTCTTTTAGCTGCTGCTCATAGGGCTTGTTCTCCAGACCATGATCATTTTAGTTGCCCTCCTCTGAACACATTCCAGCATAGAGTCAACATCTCCCTTCAGTTGTGGTGCCCAGAATTGGATACAGTGAGATTACAGGTGTGGTCTGACCAGGGCAGAATAGAGGGGAGGCATGACTTCCCTGGAGCTAGACATTAGACTCCTATTTATGCAGGCCAAAATCCCATTGGCTTTTTTTGCCGCCACATGACATTGTTGGCTCATGTTTAACTTGTTTTCCTGCATGGTAGGGGGTTGGACTGGATGGCATATGGGAATATCTTCCAGTGCTATGTTTTTATGAGTCTAGTGCCACCTTTCTGCCATACTAGCCTGGAAATCAAATCCATGTTCTATCTGGTCTGTATTGATTTGAAAGCTCACCCTAGAGACCTTAAATTCTTCCCACTAAACAGCTCCGAGGCGCCAACCTTCTCTTTTCATGAGCCAATAATTTTCTCTGGAGTTTGGCAAGAAAATGGAAGGAATAAGAGAGTTCGTTTTTGAGGCAGCCACTATGTTGAAACTCTGGGACTCGAAAGATAAAGCCACAAAGATAAGCCTACCCATTTGAAAACATAAAGCTTGCTGGAAAAACCATGTTGGGGTGAATGGCCTTTTTGAAGTCTGGGCCACTGACATTGTGCAGAAGTGGAAGCTCTTGCCAAAGCAACCAAATCCACAGCTTCTTTCTTCCTGCTCTGCTAACTTAAT